TTTGGACTTAATTTTAATTTATTTTTACTTAATGTTTAGCTATCGAGAGGGAAAGGAGTCAAATATGGCGGTCATGGAAGTGGAACTCCCTTCAGGCTATGTGGCGGACATGGAGTCACTGCCCGGCTCTCCAGACATTAAACGCGTTGACACCACAAAGGGAGACACTAATGTTGTCATATATTTCGATAGAGTTAGTCATTAAATGCTAGGAATGATAGGATTTTGTGATAATTTGTATGCATTTCACAGATAACCCGATCGAAGATCTATCTGACAGTCTGTGGCCATCGGACCCATCGGGTGGTCAACACTAAAGCCGTTCCCATCGTTGTCTACGACTACTATAATCGGCAACAAAGCGCTCGTATTTCGTATGAATTAAACTGATTGTCTGAATGTTTGAATTGAAATTTNATCGGCAACAAAGCGCTCGTATTTCGTATGAATTAAACTGATTGTCTGAATGTTTGAATTGAAATTTGAATTATTTCTGTGCTTTTAAAGTAAATTATCTGATATTTATTCATACATGAGATAAATTAAAAACAAAACACGATTTTATAATAAGTAAATTGTAATTTAAAGAATTACAAATATTTTAATTAAGATTGCAAATTTAATTTTTTAAAGTTCAGTTTTTAAAAATTATTATATTTATTATTTTTATAATTTTTAAAGTTATATTATTAGATTATAGTAAACTTTAAATAGGGTTTGATTATAAAAATTATTTTGAATTTAAGAGTTTATTTGACTTTTAATGAAAGTTTAATGTAGAAAATACAATAGAAAGTTATTTATTTAACCTTAAATGAAATACTTTCACTAAAATTATTACATCTAATAAAAAATAAATGTATACTCTGCAGTTAAAAGTATATCTTATATTTTAAAATTATAATTTTTACATTTTCTAATTAAACTAAATTTATTAATGATATTAAAATATTTTAATAAAACTTCAGTCTGTATTTATTTTAAAAATCCAATGAACAATGCTAAATAATGTTATAAAGTGAATCTTGAATGTTCTAGGATATTTAAAATAAAGTTGAATAATACATTTAGTTGTGAAACAGCATTTATATAAATTGCCAAACATGAATTTAGTGTAAGAAAAATGAATTGTTGCAAAACTACTTCAAATAAATTATTTTCTTATGTTTCAATAATGAAGCATAACTTGTGTTAATTGTAAACATAATTCAACTCTAATTATTGAACCTAATGAATTATCTTGTTGAAATTCTTTAATAAAATTCTGTTCTTAAAACACTTATTAATTAATAATTGAGCTGTTCAAAATACACTAAATATACCGCAGATTACACTAATATAAATTACTTGACAAACAAGTTATGAGTACTTATTTTACTACTTTTTATATTCGCGAAGTATTTATCGACAGTAAATAATTTGGTGGACATAGATTTACTAATGAAATTGAACAGATATGTACCAAAAGTTTTATGTCTAATCGGATGGATAATTTTATTTGTTTACATGGGTTACTATTACATCTGGTATGAAACCACAACTGATCTCAACCTCGAGCAGCCCTCCAATTATGAATCCCTGCCGGCGATCACTATTTGTACCGCAAAACACTTGTATCTAAAACCAGACATTAAACACAGAATATTCTTTAACACAAGTTATGACTGGAGAACAGAATCGAGAATTATCTCCGAGTACTTCAATGACCTCTCAATTCGTGAACAATTCAATGCTCTTCAAACACCGAACGATATATTTGTGTACTGTTTGGTAAGTAAACCACATTTGGTTACAAACTTAAACGACAGCAAACGGGAAGGGTATGTGAATTGTGCGGACATAACGCCCATACGATCAGCGATAAGCGAAAACTTTTATTGTATGACATTATTCTCGCAATTGAACAAAAACAATTATTTTTACGATCAATAAATTGAAATGAAGCAAAAAGTACATGAATTTGAGTCCAAATACTTGATCCCCGTAGTTCTTCATCAGCCGTTCCGACTTCGATCTCAACAAATATCCCGATTATACGGGCGGTCCGTGGCTTATGTCGGGCCAACTGGTGCCCGGACTGTACGAGACGGCACTCCAGTCGCTACCGGCGCTGCCCTGGGAGGACGTGTTCATTACGGGCGTGTCGGCCAGTAAGCTGGGCTTCAGGCGCCGACAGCTGACGGGTTTAGTGTATTTCCATGCGTCGCAGTTCAATCAGTTGAACCACTGCTGGTTCAGAGAAAATGTGATATTTTGGCAAAATTTAGATGAAATGATGATTAGGAATGGCTGGAGGAATGTCGTCAACACCCGTGATATGGTGTGCCTCAGCAAAGGGTCCACAATTTGCCCTACCAGTCCCATCTAATTAACTATGAAAATCCTGGTATTTATTTTATTTACGTTTAAATTATAATATAGACTCAAATGTTAAATAATTTTTATATACTCTGTATAGTAATGCAAACTATTATTTGTTGCGATTATAAATAATATATAAATTGTTAAATTATTTTATAGATTACATCAATTATTTTGTGAAATATTGTAAATTAAAATTATTTATATAATAATATTGTAAGTAAATTATAAATTATATTCTAATTATAAAATTTATAAAATACATCACTATTTTGAATATAACAGTATTAGATATTTCAAAAAAAATAAAATTAAACACTATTTACTTAAACATAATGAATGTGTCTAAAATGAATCAAAATTATTAATTTTAAAAAATAAAACTAAAATTAATTAATTAATTTTATATTACATTACATTATAATGTTGACTATTTTATTTTTTTCATTTCTTTCGTATAAACTAATTATTATGTATTTGGTGATACACCTAGCTACAGTTTCGATCTCACCTGTAGGCACAACAAATCTTTTCAACATTTATATTTAAATATAGTAATACTGCATATGAATCATACAGTACTACATAGCATTTAATAATCAAATGTCAAAACAAATTCAATAAATTCAGTCGCTTTTGAACTTTTACTAATAAAACTCAAATAATTTGACCTGGACACAGATTCATTTTAATTGATTAAACCAAGCTATGTAATTTTATCCTACCTCTTACTACCCATTATCAGCTAAGCCTACTATATATTTCATGAATGTATTCAGACGACTGAAAACAATGTCAACGACTGTAACACCTATTTATATAGTGGTGGCGCCCAAGCATTTGAGCCAAAACACCCGGTATCACATCAGCGTGTCGGTGTACCGGGTAAGCAGTCCTTTACAAGTAGATGTGAGAGTCATGGGAAGTACAGATAACAGCGCCAGTGGGTCAGTACACTTCGACAAATCCGATACCAAAACACTTAGCCTAGAGATCGGCGACTGGTCTATTGGGGACTACACATTAGCCGTGGATATTGGTAGCGAGATAACTGTGCCATTCAAACCGCTTTTTGGGTCAACGAGCGTACATACACTTGATAGACACAGGGCACTTGTGTTTAAACCTACCAAGACATTAGTTTTCATTCAAACCGATAAACCCATATATAAACCTGGTCAGTTGGTTCAGTTCAGAGCCATTGTGGTCGACCCTTCACTGGTACCCAAAATCAACACATTGGTTGACATATACATCAAAGTATGTCTCATTTTATGGCATAAATTTAAACAATAAGTTGAATACATTTCAATAAATTAATAAATTTTAACCGAAAGGACGAAAACACAAATCGCATCAAACAATGGACTCAAGTGTGGGTCAAGAATGGTGTGGTCTCTCGGGAACTCCAACTGTCAGAACAACCAGTTTTAGGCAATTGGGCCATAATTGTGGACATTAAGGGACAGACATTTCAAAGAAACTTTGAAGTGGCCGAGTATATGTTGCCCACGTTTGAGGTACAGGTATTACTGCCACCCTTTGCCACCTTTAATAAGCCCGATGTGGTCGCCACAGTCACAGCCCATTATACGTACGGACAGCCAGTTAAGGGAGACCTCACTCTCACCGTTCAAACGAAAAATGCAGGTATTTATTAATTTCAGTATTAATTTGTTTCAAATACTTTTAAAATAGTATAAAAACTATTAACAAATAATATTATACTGAATGTCATTATTAGACTCAAAGTTGCGGACAAAGACTGTAATCAATGGAAGTGTTGATATTCCCATCAATATTGTGAAAGATTTAGATATAGATCAGCAAAAATATCGATATGGCGTAGACATTGAATTCACGGCAGTGGTCAGGGAGGGAGTGACCGGAAAGGAGTATACAAAATGCAATTCATTGACACTCTATGATAAAGACTATAAAGTGGAGGCCATCAACAAAAGCTACTTTAAGCCGGGACTCAAATACACGGCTCTATTTAAAGTGGTTCATCCGGACGGCACTCCCGTTGATGATAACGGCCCTCCAGTGACACTGAAATACGGCTATTCCTATCATAACAAACCGCTTGAATTCACTGAAAGTCTGATCTTACAGCCAATCCATGGACTCATTAGGGCTGAGATATATCCGCCTAAAAACGCAAAAGTTTTACGATTTAATAGCACTTATATGCTATACGTCTACTTACATAACAACATCTCTATGACTAAGTCCCCGACTGGAAACTACATCCAAGTGGAGAGATGCGATGTCAGGGATGTAAGGGTTGGACATGAGGTCAAATTTCGTGTCACGGCTACCGAACCCCTCACACGTATTGTGTATGAAGTGATAGGAGGAGGAGATATTGTGCTGACACACAGTCTCGACATTCCGGAGAACAGTAGTTCATATGAGTTCTCTTTGATGGCTGTCCACGGAATGGCACCGAAAGCAAGGATTTTATGTTATTATGTAAGAGAAGACAATAAAGAAGTGGTGGCCGACGCCATGGACTTCGAAGTGGACGGACTGTTTCGAACTGACGTGTCGATTGACACCGACCTTAAGGAGGCAGAGCCGGGAGCACAGGTAGCTGTGAGAGTGAATACAAAGCCGGACGCGTGGGTGGGTATAGTAGGTGTCGATCAGAGCGTACTTTTGCTGAAATCTGGTAATGATATGACGCGCGAAGCCGTGATCCAAAAGTTACAGACATACGACACAACATTTACAGACAATTATTGGGATGAGTACACATCCAATACCCAAAAACTATTCAATTTGTCGGGTGTTGTGGTCATATCTAATGGTCTCGTTTATAAACACGAACACGTTTATAAAGACTACGGTGAGTTTAGTCCTAGTTTATAATTATAAGACGTAAAAGTCTATAATTGAAATTGTGTAAAATTTTTATTGTATTTTAGCCTATAAATCTACATCACTGTCATCCAAATTCAATTATTGTATGATGGCCGTACAAATGAGCAACAAGGTAGAATTGGTAGAACAGTATGATTGCATACCCCAAGTTACTCCCCAGTGCATGCAAACCAATATGACCACTATTGTTAAAACTAGAAAACATTTTCCCGAAACTTGGTTATGGACCTCAATGCAAACAGGGTACTTTCTCATAAATTTTTATGAAATCAAATTACTATATTATTAACTAATTATAAACTTGATTAAGTAATTATACTTAACTTATAATAATA